GTACAAATTGACCCCACCGATTTTTTTTTAGTAATATAGATTTTTTTTGATATATATATTTATAAAATTACAATACCCATCCTCATTAAAATTATTGAAAAATTACACTATTGTCTATTTTGGCCCCGTCCCTGCCTGAGAGGCTGAAAAGTTCTACAATATTTCAAAGCTACGGAATAACTCCTTGAGATTTTTAGAAGTTGAATTCAAGATCTATACACATGTCAAGACTATACCAACTCAATGATTTCGTGGAGATTGTGTTTTATATATAATTTGAATACAAAGGTATAAACTAAATCTCTCTTCTTCCACACTACAAAATTGGATGTATTAATTGACCATCTTACTCCCACAACTGTTTTCAAATCCACCTCCTAATCTCTTTAGAGCCATCGAGGAGGAATTTCAATACAACTATAATTCATAGTCTAAAGCATAAATTTTATAAAGAAGATACACCAATTATGAAAACTTAATTTGAAACTAATTTTTGTCAAAACGATCTTTGCATATTAGAATAGGAGATTCAATTTGAATCCAACTTCTGTCAGAACGATCTTTTCATATTATGTAATAGGAGACACTCAAATCTCTAATCTTATCATTATGTAATAGGAGACACACTCAAGTCTCTAATCTTATCTATTTTTAATCTTGTTTATTCTTAAACTTCATACGCATGTATAAATGAGTGTTCAGGATCATTTTTAGAAATTGATTCCATGCAATGCAAATGCAACTTCTCTAAATTATTAATAATCATTAATTCATGTGTAATCAAATGTATCAATTAATTAATGTTAGTGCATTATTTTGCATCCACCATCCGTACGGATTTTTGGTTAATACAATTATAAAACTTTGAATTACAAAGCCATATGTTGTTATTGTAATCAGGTACATCACTCAAAAGTGAGGCCATAATATTTAACACGATACAAACACAAGAATTTGGATTTGAATTTTACTCATGCTCGAGTCGATTCATATTGACATGAATTTAATACATCAACTCGTTTATAATTCGATTAATTTATTTAACTAAATGTGTTAGATTCGTTTTACTAAATGTATTCGATAAACGTGTTCGTATAAAAAATAACTTAAATATGTCTTACACCTCATTTCGTATAGGGTTAAATCTAGAGTCTTAACCAACTTATTAAATTGATTACACATCTTGTGTTACCTATGTATAATCATGTCGTATTCGCGTCAATGTTTCTTGACACCAATAATAATTGTGTTGTTTTTGTGTTTACCCATTTAATAAAATGTAGGTGTCTTAATACAACACCAACACCACCTGTTTATAGGAGTGGCAATATTTGACACAACACGTTAACACGACACAAACGCGGCACAAGATAAAAGGGTTTGGCTGGGTTTGGCTAATCGTGTTTATGTCGTAATCGTGTCTACACGGATTGACCCGTTAACTAAATATGTTGTGTTCGTGTTTGAACTTATTAAAAACACGATTAATCCGATTAACTAAATGTGTCATATAAAAGTATCTTATTCGTGTAAAAAATGATTTATTTAGCAAAACGTGTACAATAGATGTGACGTGTTTGTGTTAAAAATGATTTAAACATGTTTTTTCTTGTCATTTCGTGTCGTGTAAAGTCTTGACCTATTTATTAAAATGTATTAAGCATGTCGTGTCGTGTTAAGTCTTGACACATTTATTAAAATGCATTATACGTGTCGTGTCGTATTATACGTATAATAATCGTGTCGTCTTCGTGTTCGTATCAAGAAATCTTGACATAATTAATAATCGTGTCGTGTTCGTGTCGACTTTAATCGTATTCGTGTTGTAATCGTGCTAATACAAACACGATCCTTGAACACAAATCGCCACCCTACCTGTCTAACACCAATTGGAAAGATTATGCAAAGGTTGTTAACATTTTGTACAAGAGAAGATGTCTCCTGTTTGCATTTTAGTGCATTCGTTTGGAAAAAAATGTAAGCTTCAAAAACGGTGCAAATTAAGCCAACAATCTCCACCCGTAATATTGGGGAGCTGGCAGTATAATATTCAAACTAAACAAAACTTTTTCCCATCATAATTTAATTCATTGCCTCTAATCATTTTATGTTATCACATAACCATTTTTGTTTGATGTAACCAGACTCACAATCAATAGTACATTAAAAGAGCAAATGAAGTGAGTTAAACCTCTTAATCTTTTTAATTACTTTATCAAAGGTCATTAAACTAGAGAGGAGAAGTCCTTTTCAGGAACTGCTTCTGGTACACCTTCAAAAGGTGATTAAACTTGGGGGAGAAGGTATTAAAAAATAGTAATAATAATAATAATAAAATTAAACATATGTTGATTAGATCTAATCATACCAAACTACTTTAGTAAGATGTAAAGGAATGTTTATGTCTCATGATGGCATTAAGTAGATGAGATCTCTCATTTTAGGTGGTGAGCCAGAATGATGATGTCATTGCAACTTTACCATTATTATACAATGTTGGTTTAAGCCCCTCCATATGTTCCGCACAACTTCCCTTTATTTTGGTTAAAACATTAAAAACAAGGTGGTCCACCCAACATCCTAATTTTACCTTAAAAAGGGCAATTATTGTTTCATAATTTTAGATATATAATTTGCCTCTTTAACAAAGCAGGAAAGGCCAATCCATTCGGTCCATAACTTGCACATGATTTGAAATATCATAACCGAAAAATCAAGATTAATCGAAATTTTAATGTTGAAATAGCATGAATGTGTGTGACCATATCAAAGAAATCAACAACTCAAAAGCAAAATGATAATGTATGCAATGAACAAAAGAAAAGAAAAGACAAAAATAAAAATTACTTGGGTATAAAAACATAAATATCCACCTAACACGATAAATGACACTCCTTTTTCCTACCAAGGGATGTTCAGACTTTTTTAAGCATTTGATTGGACTTTCTGTCCCATGTGTCAAACACTTGCCTGAATAATTTAAGAGAAACGTTTTTTTTTTTTTTTTTTTTTTTTTTTTTTGGGAATTTTAAGCAACTGATAAATAAAATAAATGAAAGTACAATGTGGCATAAATTGTTCTGAAAAAAGAAGCCCTAGAAAATTTGTTTGCAAGCTGAATACGTGGGATCACTATGTAGTTGGTCATAAATTGTGAGTGTATATAACTTGCAAGCACATGCCTCTGCACTACTCACTGAAACATGTCTGGCCAAAAGAATGAAAATCAAACCAAATTTATGAATACTACTCACATTTAATTTCATTACAATATGTTCTCTTTCATAGTTTTCTATTGTAACAAGTACGTAGGCTATTGATACCACTGTAACACCGTTCACTGCACACACACACACACACACATATATACTGCATTTTTGCAAATAAATTTATAGCTAAGGAGCACTTTTTGTCAATAAACAAAGAATTTTTTTTAAGGTTATATATATGTATATATATATTTTTTTTCCAATGTGATTTTTGTTAATTGAGGTTTTTGAGACTGGATAATGTACAAGTTCACCTTTTTCAAATACCAACTATGGCTTTGTAATTTGTAAAATCATGAGTATTTTTATGCATAATCGGTGCATCAAACGATATTATTTTGGTGAGATTCAAAGCTCAATGAACCTTTACAATATGAATCCAACATGAGAGGATCCTCTTTCGTAAAGATATCAATAGATGTATTGTGTGCTTTTAACATTTAAAATATTTATAGTACATTCAAATATTTAACAATCATAATAACAAAAATATTGTTAAAATTATCATGAAAAAAAATATACAGCTAATAAAAGAATATTTATGTATATATTAAATATTAATCGGGTTCAAAATTTTGAGAGTTTTAAACTCTTTTTTCAAATTCACGAGTAATCCAATTAAGATAATTCCAAACCTATTTCAACGGTGCCATAGATTAAATTGATATTATTACCTATGAGTAAACAACCGGGATGTCATTAAAGCATTGCACGAGGTTATATAACTACATATAAATGGTCCAAAAATAATTATGATGAAAGGTGCTTATCACCTACCTCAATCAACCCCATCAAAAAGGACGGACAGAACTAAATACTTATCTTCTTCTTAATTCTTAATTGATACCTCACTCTTTGCTTCAATTTGCCTTTAAATGCAAGCAAAATTAAAGGTAAATCTACCTAAACTAAACGCCATTTTTATTCACTCCTTTAAATCCTCAACTGTAGGGTTGGATCTGCAAATTGCCAAATTGTGAGTGAGACCAAAACTTTACAGCTCACCAAGCTAGCAAGAAATGAATTCACATGGTATGACCACAGTGCCTTCAATACAGGTCTCTCTTAATCAATAACATAACAATTTTACAAGTACCTATATATATATATATATATATATATATATGGTACCATGTGTTAAAGATTCATTAATCTAATTTCCCAAAAAAAAAAAATTAATTTCATAGCTTGCATATGTTATTCCACATGGACAATACTATATATGAATATGTTCAACTCCGAAATTTTATAGTTCTAAACTCTACTCACACACTTTGTCTAATATAAAGTCAAAATGTTAAATTTGTCTCTAATTTCACCATTTAGTACCCCAATTAGATGGGATATATGAATGGTAAATAATTTTTTATTTATTTAAATTTTGATCCCACCAGATGTTGGAACTTGAGTATAACATTTTAAAAATACACAAATTTTGACATAATTAACATTATTTCGCACGTTAATAAAAAAAGTATTATTTTACATAAAATGATTATTTTTAAACTCTTAACATATTCTTTATTTCTAATTTTCTAATCATCTGAGTTCTGAAGTGAATACTTATAAATAGAAATAAAGAGGAAAACACAAAAGTTATTTTTAAATTCCTTTCACATTTATAAAGAAAAGCCCAAAAGAGGGTAAAAAGCTTGATTAAAGGTGTGATTAAAAAGGCGTTATATTACGTGTCACAACCCCATTTGTAACACGCCAACTGTCCGGTCTACCTAGTAGAAGCTCCTCCGTGAGAAAGATAAATACCAACGGCAAGTGCGCGGTCTGCAGTTACTACTCTCACAACGCTGCTTCTTTCTCTCTCTACTCTCTCTCCTCACTCTTTTTATCTTTTGTATACGTGCTTCTTCAGAAAAGAACCTGAAAATGGAAGGCATCATAAGAGAATACTAAGATTTTTCTCAGGTTTGATTCATATTTTATTTCTTTTCAGAAAGTTCCATGTTACCATGTATATATGTAAATGTCACTGACTTTGATTGTCATTTTTTGGGATAAGAATATATAGAGATTTTAAATTTCTATTTTGTGTTGTATTTAAATTAATGTTCATAACCTGTTTGTGAATTTGATTCCAATAAAGGTTGGATTTTTGGCGGAAATGGGAAAGAAAGGAAGTGGATGGTTTTCCACAGTGAGGAAAGCGTTCAAACCTTCTTCCAAGGATTTCCCGGAGAAGAAGGTCAGTTCATTTACACACACGCACATATATATACATGATACATATGTATAATTATATATACACAGACACAGTCATATACACATATATACATGCATGTACCGAAAAGTAATTGTAAAAAATTAGGATCAATGGAAAAGTGTTACTCTCTCCCCCCCTCTCTGAAAAATCGTCAGAGGTTTGCTTCATTTTCATGTTACATATAAGTTTCAAGCATGGGATCTTAAAATTGACAATATTACTAGCATAGATATTATAAACTCTTCATTATTTGTCTTCATATATGTATATATATGTATATAATATTCTTGTTCATTTAGTCTTTTGTCTCATTTGAATGGAAGCTTATACATATATGTGTGTGTGTTTATATATATATATATATATGCATTAGGCACCAGACAGCTAAACAGTCAAAAGACATGAATATGCAAGGGAAAAAAAAAACACACTACTCCGTATTATTTATTTTGTCATTTTTAATTCCTAATTAATGGGTATATCAATTATAAGTAAAATTATTTATACCATTATTAATTTTTTTTTTTCCCTTACAAAAACTCAGTTTTAGCATAAGCTGTGGGTTTGAGCTGTATTAATTATCATGTGATCCGTACTTATCTTAGCACGAGCTAACACACATCACTCTTAATGCATGTATGGTTTCATCAATAGATCTCTGATAGTAACAACCGTGTGTTTAAAGTATTTCTCAGAGACCAAAGATGTTAATATGATGTAATTTTCATGGTGGACATTGGGGGCATATGGTCCCAATGATTCAATGAACGTACATGACCAATTGCACATTACAGAGCTCATGACACATTACTATCATGCCATCAAAGCTATCACATCATCCATTTTGATCAATATTGCAGGCTTATTTTGTTAGTTCCCAATAATTCTTGCTATGATTCAAATGATACCGAAATTAAAATGCACAATTTCAATGAGCCCAACACTAAGAAATGGCATGATTTAATTTCAGAAAGAGAATGCAGAGAAATATCATGACGCGCAGGAGGTTGTGTCCTTGGAACATTTTCCTGCAGAAAGTTCTCCAGATGTCACAATTAATGAGAGTGATGAAACATCTTCAGTGACTGAAGACCGAAATCATGCTATTGCAGTGGCAGTGGCAACTGCTGCAGCGGCAGAAGCTGCAGTTGCAGCTGCACAAGCAGCGGCCAAAGTTGTTCGATTGGCCGGTTATGGACGCCATTACTCTAAGGATGAAAAAGCAGCAACTGTCATACAATCACATTACAGAGGATACCTGGTATCACACCTCTCCATCTCACACATGCATATATTAACTTAATTGGGGACATTGGCACTAATGTTTGTTCTTAATTAGGCTAAAGATAAAAATAAAATCCGAAACAATTGATTCATCATAGTATACTAACATTAATTTGCTCCTCAGAGGGCTAATGCTATGTTTTTGGAGAAGTGAGTTTTTTTTTCCCTCTTCTTTATTAGCTATATATATATATATAGTGTAAGGTTAAGTAAACACACACACATGCTTTCGCTTAAGTTAGAACATTCAGGGCTTGTACCCATTTGGTTATTAACTAAATATGTTACCACTAACAATCCTCTGATTTTAAGCCCTTGTTTGTTATATGTTACTGTGATTTGCAGGCTCGGCGAGCTTTGCGTGCTTTGAAGGGATTGGTGAGGCTACAGGCACTGGTGAGGGGGCATAATGTGCGCAAGCAAGCGCATATGACAATGCGGTGCATGCAGGCATTAGTGCGCGTACAAGCAAGAGTGCGAGCACGCAGGCTCCAATTGGCCCATGAGAAGGTACAGAAGAAAGTAGTGGAAGAACAACGACATGGAGCAGAGAAAGAAGTTCGGAAGCCAATGACCCCATTGAATAAGTTTGAAGAGAAAGGTTGGGATGGGAATGATCAGAAGAAAGTGAAAGAAAACACTAGTAGAAAACATGATTCTGTCATGAAGAGGGAGAGAGATCTCGCTATTGCTTTTACTTACCAGGTTAGTTAATTAGTTATTTCCTAAGAAATAATGTTTCATAATTGAATTATAAATTGGTGCGATTGCAGAAAGTTGTACTAATATATGTTACTCTCGAGTCCAAGATCAACCAATACTTAGTACTGGTCTTTTGACAATCTTTTTCTCTGCATTCTCTTTCTGAAATTGAAATTGAATTATAGGAGCAGAAGGAGCAACAACGTCAATTCTTGAATTCGAAACCAAATGATGAGGATTCCCCATTCTATGGGAACAATGGAGAAACACAACAATGGGGTTGGCAATGGCTCGAGCGTTGGATGGCATCGCAACCGTGGACCCACAATGTGGGGACACGGGATAGCTCATACATGATGCTACCAACTGCCGATAACGCATCTGAGAAGACGGTTGAGATGGATTTGGTTACGGGCTCAGGAAATGTCAAACCAGGCCGGTTCAGTGACTCAATAGCATCAGTTCCATACCCAAGTCGACAGCATCGGCATTCGGTCTCGGACAGACTGGACAGTGTCCCAAGCTTCATGGCACCAACCCAATCCGCAAAAGCCAAGGTGCGAAGTCAGTCCTCGCACAAGCAACGTGGTCCATCAGGAGCCCAATGGAATCCATCAACAAAGAGGGGACCTGTTTTGGGTTCGGGCTGTGACTCGTCGAGTTCGGGCGGAGGAACCGCAACCTATCAGGCCCCAAGGAGCCCAGGCTCAAAATACGAAGTAGGCCGTGGACAGGGTAAGTGGGTTGGAGGCCACAGTCCGGATTATGGTGGATTCGATGATAGGGCACTACCTTTGGGAGGTCACGGTTGGAGACACAATTTTGGTTGATTGTGTTAAAGAACCCACTATAATTATGCTTTATTTATACAACTCTCTTATATGTTCATACATTTTTATTTATTGTATTATGTGGTGAATGGTGATTTATTATTATGGATACAAAGCCATATTAATTTGAAATTATATTCTCTTGTATTAAAATTAAAATTATTAGATGATGTATACTCTCAATTATTAAAACGATTTTATTTTGATGTACAAAGTTACTCTCTGTGTTTCAAATTAAACGTTGGGTTGGATTGTTTTATACAATCCGTATTAAGCTTAGCGTTGTGTATCGAAATGACAAGATTTCGGTGCAGAAGATCAGCGCAATATCCTGCTTTGACAGGTACTACACACTCTAGGTATCCAATAAACGTACAGGCCACCATGACCTACCACGTGTCAGTAATTTAAATAAGGAAATCCTTGCTGAGGTGTACTAGTGAAATCATATTATCTAAAAATGAAATGGTACTTACGTAGTTATGGGTTGTTGTGGGGGTAGTTTGCTTGAGGCAGGCGATATTCAGTTTGTTCCGTTCTTCTTCTCCGACGGCTCAAGTCAAAAACTCCTCTTTTGATGAGAGCCCTTCCACGTTCGCCCTCTCTCTCTGGAACCAAACCTAGATTTCTCACCGATCGGCGGTTCAATTTCTGTCTCTGCAACAAACAAGCGATTGAATTCGTGAATGCACCAAATGGCAAATCTATCATTATATAGAGAGAGAAACGAGATTTGGATCTTGTTTCATTAATCGGCGTGGTCTACTAATTTTGTTTTAGAGAGAGAAAAGGAGAGGAATTTGTTGTATTTTACAGGGTTTCCGTCTGGTTTCATTGTTCTAGAGAGAAGGATAAAATTGAAGAGAGAGAGGTGATGTATGGATCCGATGAATGAATTTGATTCCATTAGAAGAATTTTTCGCTAAAGAAAGGTCGGTTGGTCTTAATCAGATCTATTAGGGCATTTTGAATGTTGTATTTTGGCGATTCGTGATATCTACATTTTGAATGATGATTTCGAATCCCGATTTGGTTTATTACGCCTCTGTTTCCAAAGGAACTACGATTCTCGCAGAGTTCAACTCCGTGGACGCCGATCTCGGAAGGATTGCTGCGAAATGTCTCGAAAAGACGCCGCCTTTTCACATCATTTTCTCTCATACCATTCGACAAAGGACCTACAAGTTCTTGATCGACGACCCTTTTATCTATTTCGCCGTGTTCGATGAGAATCTGGATAACTCGGAAGGTCTTGTCTTTCTTAAATGCGTACAGGACGCGTTCATTGATATCATTGAGAGCAATCCCATCAATGATTTGGACAGTTTGCATTTTCATTGTTTTCAAGGCGAATTCAATCCAGTATTCCATCAATTGTTGACACCACCGTTGAATTTCGATGCTATGCATTCGCCACGGGGAGTTCTTAAACACTCTCGGAGTGGAAGTTTGGAATCGCCCAAAGGGTTGAAATTTGGGTCTGTGCCGTTGCTCAGAGGGGATAAGTTCATGGGGTTGAAGAAGAAGAAGAAGCTGAATATTAAGTTGAATATGGAGACCGATGGTGAAGGCGAAGATTCAGTGGTCAGTAACAGGGTGGATATTACTGATGGTGGTGCTGGTTTGAGTAGAGAATTTTCGGTGTTAATGCAAAAAAATGGATTTTATGCTGTGGATTCAGGAACCCAAAGGGCAAAGCTAGTTTGGAAGAAACATGTTTGGGTGGTGTTGTCATTGGACTTGATTGTTTGTTTTATCTTGTTTGGGATATGGTTGTGGATTTGCAGGGGATTTAAATGCATTGATGGTTGAATTGGCACTAGCAGGTTTGGATGGTGGTGTTCCCTGATTGTTGAATCTTTTTTCCTGTACATTGCTAGCAGTTGGGTTCTGTGATGATATTTTCAAAGGCGTATTGGTATAGTAAAATAGAACCTCCAGTTACTTGTGAGTTTCCAAATTGTGATTCAGCTTCTACTGGTAATCTATTTTATCAATGAAGTCCTGGTATTCTGGACAAGTATATATACCGCTTCTTAATATGGTTCTTAACTATCTCATTTTGTGTTATGCTTTAAACTGTATGTGTAATTACACAGATATTATGGGCCTACACATTTTTAAATTATCTCTTCAGAAATGTTTCTGGTTAACATTATGGATTCACTATTACTTTTTGTCACTTTGGCAGCAAGGCTGGTTGTGATAGATTAGATTGTAGGAGGTGTTTTCTCTTTGTGGAAAGGTTTCAGTTTGTATCATTACCTGTTTTATAATGTTAGGAACCTCTGAAAATTGTCTCTAGACTTCATTTTTTTTTCTTCTGCTTCATAGGTCACTTTGTTATGATCTAGCTTCACCAATTAGTCTGATTAGATGAACCGTATTATAATATGTTCCAATGGCCATGTAGGGTACTTAAAACTAAATCGTGTATTGAAGTATTCACATTCGTAATCCATCAAGAAACTGGTGAAAGTTACATTTTAGGTTCTAAAAGGGCGGGGAAGGGTTAACCAAAACTTGGTCCCAGGCCCGAGCTGGTCCTGCTTTTTCCTTAACGAGCTGGACCTGCCTAGGGATGGGCTTCTTAGTCGGAATTTATTGCGACCTTTGGGATTGAATACATTCGCATGTGTCCAGTGCTATGTAAAGTGTACCGTTGCTTAAAGTGACTTTCTTGATTTGTTACCTTGTATTAACATTGGCTAGGGGTTTTCTTTCCCAAATTTAGCACAGATAATGGGGCTTTTTTTGTTTGTTTGTTTAGCTGGTTATAAACAAAAACAATCACTACAAACATCTCATAATTGTAAGTGGTAATATTTAAAGTCTTGACTCTAGCTTGAACTAAACCTCGAGGATTTTTACATATTTATGAGGTTTCACTGGACTTGATAAACTTTTGATCTTAGAAGATAAAGAGGATGGACATCTAGGAAATTTGGTTATATGTGTAATTCTATAGCAAAGTTGGACATTGTCTCAAATGGTGTAGATTCTTGGCTGCTTTCATCTTTCCCCTTTGCTTTCCCTTTGACATTATTTCTTGGCCATAGTTGCTTTTACTTTAGGTTCTCGAATTGCCAAGCATGAACATGGATACAGGTGTTAATATCTTTTCCCTTTGTTTCCCTTTGACATGATTGCTTGGCCATAGTTGCTTTTACTTTAGGTTCTCGAGTTGCCAAGCATGGTGGATACAAGTGTAAGAATATCTTTCCCCTTTCTTTCCCTTTGGCATTATTGCTTGGCCATAGTCGCTTTTACTTTAGGTTCTCGAGTTGCCAAGCATGAACGTGGTGGATACAAGGGTAAGAATAATCACTTTGAGCAAATTGTGTCGAAGGCTAGGTTCTTGTCGACTCTCTTTCTCTCTCTCTCCTGATACCTGACATTAGTCATGGTATAATGGCGTGATGTCCTTTACACAGTTAATTCTTCAACTTTTTTAACAAAAGATGCATATCAATATATGGGTAATCATCAAATTTCACCATCATACTTTCATGCTTTACCAACTATCACTTGTCTGAACAAAGCCTTAATCCTAGAAGTTCAGTGTGGGTTATGGAGATTCCTTTTGCTAGATCTATCTTAAAGGCCAGAGATGATTCTAGTGGACTTGTGAATGTAGATACTGCTACGGAGCATCTGGTTGCTGCAGGAGTTAGATTAAATGTTGTCTGCATCCTCTTCTCCTATGCCCTGATTACTGAATTACCTAGCATGTTCCTCCTGCAGTTATAGTTTGACTAGGTTATTAAAAAATAATGCCACTAAATTTCATGTACATACTGAGAATTGAGTTTTTGCTTGTATAAAAAATGTAATAGTCCACTATATGTGTTCAGATACTGATGATGCTACTAAATGTCCTGCTCCATTGGCGAGGGCATTTCTGTCTGTCATCTTACTCGCAGTGATCTTAGGAATCTTCACAACTTGAACTGTGATTTGTTTCAGTTTTCCAATTTCCTGAGATATTTAAATCTTAAATTAATGTTTGCCTGAAAATTTGAGGCTGAGGGTTTAAGTTACTTCCCATAAGTGACTGATTTTGGTATCCTTTAACATATACTTTAATGTTGGCCTGAAATTTGCTGACTAGGGGTTTAATTTCATTTCCATAAGTGACTGTTTTGGTAGTTTTTCATTTTTGGAGCTGTTATTGGCGCTCCTGTATTCTCCATTTGCTCCTCCTAATCCAGTTACTAGTATAATGAAAAGACTGTATTGCCCTCCCTGTTTATGCAACTTCTAACTTTTTTTCCTCCCCTTTTGTTATCTTTTTTTTTTTTTATCTGTTCTCTCTTTTCTTTCACGCTATACATACAAATGTAATGAAACCATTATCAAGAACCCATTACATTGAACTCCAAAAATATGAAACAAATTTTACGTAACAGCTCAATTGTTATGCTGGAAACATTAAACCTATTTGATATAAGTTTATGAGAAAACAGAGTTCATTTACTATTTAGATTCACAGAGAGATATGAATGAGAGAAACAAGGACAAGAAGTGAGATGCTATAATATGCACCTTCAGATGTAATGTGAGATGAACTCTGATTCTGAAATTTAGGCTGCACAAATATATATATATATATATATATATATACAAACATATTATAGCCTAAAATGAGTGAGTATACAATATATATATATATATGTATACTCACTCATTTTAGGCTATAATATGCACCTTTAGATGAACTCTGAATCAACCAAAGCTTAACTTCAATTCAAGTTCATTTGGGCGCACAGGTATTGCTTTTGGTGGGATGAAAAATTTACACGAAGGCTACCTTTGTTTCCACGTTAAATATTTTTCTTGGAAAATATACATAAATATTTTTTATTTTTCTTGGAAAATATACATAAATATTTTTTAATTTTCTGTATTTGACAAAAATCTAGATTGAAATTTTATTTTTGTTAAATTTTTATTTCTATTTTTCTTTTTTATAAATATTTAATGACAACCCAGCGCTAAAAATATATATATATATATATTAAAAATATTTTACAAACCCAAAGTGTATCACTATGGATGATTCTGATAGATAGAGTTGTTCACTTCGGTGTTCAAACCTTATCTCCTCTCAAAGGTGTCTTGTTCATTTAGTCCAATTTTTTATTTTTTTTTTAATTTAATTTTTTTCGGTATTTTGTCGGCAAGGCCAATGCAAGAAAGGTTGGTGGTGTTTGAATAATTTCCATACCATTTGGACCATTCATCATGGCTAGGACTACGAGGTACACGACTCTTTTATGCAACATTAATAACGCTTTTGCCAGTGACCTAACAATATACCTACAAAAATCACATGGAATGTGCAGATAATGACTTCAACAATACGATAAAGCAGTTGCTGTACCTTTATTTGTCAATATATAATAAATTGAGTTACTATAAATGATTTGTGTTCGTCCCATGAGAATTTTTGTTTGGTTATTGAATTGAGGTGTAAACAGTTGAGCACAAATGACATTTTCCAAACTCACTAAATGAAAGAGATCCGAATAACCAATGGACCACATGGTCCATCAATGAATCACATGGTCTACGACTAATTTGGTATTTATTTGAATAACATATGAACATGAGCAACCCACGTTTTTCAAACTCATTCTCCGTAAAATATTTTATTTTTTATTTTTTTATGTTTGATTGTAGTATAATATTTACGAAGAAAAAATATTAAAATTTATCCATTAATTTTCTACAAATTATTTTACATACTTCAACATCGACGTAGACATTTACCAAACACTGATAAAGTAAAAATAAAAAAATATTTTACCTAAAGAATAAAAATATTTTCCAAAAAGAATATTTTACGTCGAAATAAACGGAGCCTAAATAAAAATTGTAAATATGTTCATTGTGTATAATATGTTCATCATGTATGCATGCATATTTAGTAATCTTCGGGTTGTTAAAATTATTTGTGAAGGGGTCACCAAAACTTCATCCTTAGCCTCCACAACCACACTGATTAGCTTTTGAAAGCTCCTATCCTATACTATTTTGTCAATGCAAAAAGATTATATACTATCCAACATATCGATCCTTAACTTTTGGAAGCTTTTTTCAATGACTTTATAACTTAGTCATTTTGGAATTTTAAAAGGTGAGCATTAAAAAATTAAAATCTCAAAATAAAATTTTGAAAATTTATAATATATTTTTTAATCCAACAAATTTTTTTCCTAATTTTTAATCCAATAAATATAAAGAGAGACACCAGTATTCAAAATAGTCTAAGATAGGAGCTTTGGACTCTCTGGAAGACAAATTTTTTACATGGTCCCAACAATCAAATCATCCTTACAATTAAAATAGTGATAGATGATGAGCCTAACATTTAAACCGGAACTGCTAAGCCAAAAACATCCCATGATTGGGATGCTTTCATATGGTCCCAAACATAGGATGTTTTCGGTTTAACACTTGGGTTGAAGTGTTGGCGGGTGTTCTGTTTAACACTTGGGTTGAAGTGTTGGCGGGTGTTCTGTTCAAAGTATATTTGTGAAGGGGATACCAAAACTTCATCCATGGCCTCCACAATAACCCTGATTAAAAACCACCTCCGTCTATACCACCCCATCGCCACCATCTGACCTAACTCCAATTTTAGATAGATAAAGTAATCCATCTTTATCTCTCCATGACTCTCTCTTTGTTTATAAGCATTTCTCTCTTTATTAAATATAACTAGGAATTAAACGATTCAATTAAGTATACAATATATATACTTATTTTGAAATATCAATTGAATAGTTTAATTCCTAAGCCAAAAATTCTTATTCCTTTTTAAAAATTATTTATTTATGTCCCAATATTCACATTCCCTCAAAATCATTTTCGATTTGTCAATGCAAAAAGATTATATACTATCCAACAAAATTTTTTCCTAATTTTTAATCCAATAAATATAAAGAGAGACACTAGTATTCAAAATAGTCTAGGTTAGGAGCTTTGGACTCTCTCAATGAGAAATTTTTTACATGAACTCAACAATCAAATTATCCTTACAATTAAAATAGTGATAGATGATGAACTTAATATTTAAACCGGAACTGTTGGGCCAAAAACATCCCATGATTGGGATATTTTCATATGGTCCCAAACAAAGGATGTTTTC